CAGTCTGAGGCCTTGTCCACATGTAGCAGGGTTTTTGTAAAACTGAATATCCTCCCTCCTCTGTCTAGAAAAATGTACACACCACCTCGTTTTTAGAAAAAGAATTCATCCACACCCTAACCACATTAGTGCGTTGTTAGGATGTAATAACTCCGACGACAGGAGCGACGACCAGGACATTGGAAATGGTCACGACATTCCTCCTGGAGCACGATTTCCAGCTCAAAGTTCTCCCACCAGCTGGCAGTGTGTCTGACCCAAAACCGATGTCGGTGTCTCTGATGGAGAACATGCCTCAGACGTGGAATGGCAAGATGGCGGACAGTAACCGTCCTTACCGTCGTCCTTCACCTGTGTTCTTGTACGTGGAGCGGTATCTGGGCCTGGACCAGAGACAACATGGTTCTGAGGGCGTCCACACTGTTTCCAAATGTAAACACAGGTCACGTATGTGATGTAAGAACATATTTTGATGCAGGCCGGTGTGTTTTGAAACCTAAAACCCGGTTATTTAAGTCCACATACAGACGCATAAACGGAGGATTCACAGATCTTCACTTTGGTTGGAGGTTTTTGAAAGAATCGTTTTTAGTGCCGTAAATCTGCGTTTTCATGTTGACGACAGGAAACATCGTAGAGAAATATTTTCATTTTGTGAGACACCTGCTACGTGTGGACGAGGCCTGACATGATATATATGTGCAGATTCGGTGTCCATCATGAAACTATAGGGAGGGAAAAAGTCTTCAAACTTCAGAACCTGCCTGAGAATCACCAAGTCTTCTTCAGTATCAGTTGTCAGTACATATATGGGTTCTCTGCTAACTGCTGAATCTTGGCTACTTTCAATGGTGCCAAAAGACTGAAATGTGTAAAATGAGCCGTTCATTGAAGGGACATAGTGTCAGATAGTTTGCTGCAAATAATAAAAGTTGCTGCAGCTGAAGAGTAGGTTGGTGGTATTATTATTATTATTACACTGTATAAACTACAAGAGCAGAATGTACATTTATATTTCATGTTTACATATATTCTATTCCATATTACTACTTATGTCTATATTATTATTACATATTTTTATACTTTCCTACTTCTCTTAAGACTTTTGAATGGGAGCACCTGTAAGAGAAAGCATTTTCCCCAAGGGGATCAATAAATTACTTCTGATTCTAAAAATAATACCAATATACACCTTAACAGCCCTTTAAAACATTTAGGAACTATCTGCTGAGTGAAAACACTTATCACAGACTAATCTGATAATTCTCCAAATAACGATTTTTGTTAAGAAAAAAAATAAATTAGACATTTTGTCTGTGGGAGGTACACACTACTGCAGATTACCAATGACTCAGAAAGTATTAGTAAATATTTTTTCCTTAGAGTCACAAACTGAGGTATTGGCCATAACATATGAATTATAACCACCAACACACAAGAGCATCTCTGAGTTACCAGTTCATAGTGCCAAAAATCATTCAAATATACTTGACTATTTTGAGGATCGTTTTGTGGCAGGAAAAATACTTCTTGCTTTTGTTGCATGCTCCTGCCAGGGAATTACTTAATACAACTGCTACAGATTTCTGCAGTTAACAGGGAGTCAGGAAACACTTTAAAAGAAAATAGGCTCTCGCTTACAGCTCAAGGCATTACACTGTTGTTCAACAATGTTTTTGTTTAACCAAGCAGAGTCAACAACACAGTATGAACGACATTTCACTTCAGCAAAAACCCTCTAGTTGCAGTACTGAAGGCTATCTTTAACGACGCATTTCACTATAAAAGGATGCACTTCAGACGATGCTAAAACTGACAACTGTGCAAATATGTTTTACATGAAAGTGCTGAACAGCAGGACGATTGTCTTTATGAATCTATCATTTTGGTTGCAAACTGACCTTGATTTGTCAAAGTGTTTGCCAGTATAGGCCATCCCACAGGCAGCCCCAAGGCCCTGTCCCAGAGATCCTGTAGCCACATCAACAAATTCCAATTTCTGGGTTGGAATGGAACAGAAAGGAAAAAAGAAGAAAAAAAAAAGTTACACATGATATAGAAAGTCATTTGGGCATCATATTTCTACTCTACAGAGAAACATGAACACCAGAAAGGGACTCCAGATCTCAGCACTTACTGGTGTGGGGTGCCCCTCCAGTTCACAGTCAATCTTACGAAGGTTAAGCAGTTCAGACTCCTTCACGAAACCTGCCTCTGCCCAAGCAGCATAGAGGACAGGGGCAGCATGACCCTATTGATAGAGGGGTTGAGAGGAGTGTTAATGTCAGGTGCACTGATTCTGATTCAATTGCATGACAATAAATTAATCTCTCTGCTAAAAAAAAAAAAAAAAAAAAAAAAAAGTACCAACCTTTGAGAGCACAAAGCGGTCATTGCACTGGTTGCGAGGATCTTCTGTTTTATAGCGCATGGTGTGGAAGAAGAGCACAGACATGAGCTCTGCTGCACTGCAGCATGATGTTGGATGGCTGAGGAGCAAGAAAAACAGACAACCTGTTAGTGACAGGCAAGGTTTTTTTTTTTTTTTTTTTTAAAAGCTACTAAATTAGAGGGAAAAAAGTAAATCCACTCAACATGCACATACATGCATGTGTTGCTACATTCTGGAACTGGGGTTGGCACCATAGCTTATTACAATTCATAAAAGCACTTAGTTTAAATGTATATTAAAATTCTTCAGAACAAAATATTAGTCATTTCAGACAGCATGACAGTTCAACAAAAACTTCCAAACACTAACTTTGACAGGCAACAATGCTTTTTAAAATAGTCTCCAAATATCACGTTAATAAATTGTTAATTTGCAACATGGTCAACTCAGTTAGGTTATCACACTTCAGATCTTCTAAAAATAAAGATTAGCAAACCTTTGAAACTGTTAGTTGCAGCACAGTGGTTGGAATATTGTAATCAACGTGTTTAGAAACCCCACATTACCCAACAGATCTCAGCTTCCCTATACAGGTCAAGTTACAAATAGCATCATTTCAACCATGCTGGGGACACACCGAGTTATCTTATCCAAACACACATCATGGCCACTGTTACATTTTTATTTATAATTTTAAAAACCCAGTGCTCTGTTTACCACTTGTCCTTCTGTTGAGAGATAACCTGATGAGAAATAAAGTAAATCAGGAAAGCCATAATGAAAGAAATCAGATGCTTGAGTGTAACGTCTTCGATTAGTCAAACAATGAGGAACAATGGTGTGATGAGGGCTGGGTGTCAGAACTAAAAGACATCCTTTGTTTGAATGAACAGAACATTTGTAAAAGGTTTCACACTCCAGATATTCAGAACAGACTTCCCACACTTCCTTGTCGGGCAACATAAGGAAGTAACAAAAACAGGTTCATCAACAAAGCTTTTTATTTGTGGAGGTGGAAGCTGTCTTACAACAGAAATTACACAATTCTGGAATGTTTGGAGGAGCCACACAAATAAAATCAATGTATTGTGACCACATAAAAAAATCAAAGTATGGTAATTGGTTAATTGGTAGATGATACATAAAGGATGTTGTCCTTAATTGCATGTTTACATTTTAGACTTATTAGGCCTTGATCACATGCTATGAAACAAGACTTGAACTTGTCTTTGTTTGAAAGACAGGCATGGGAGGAAAAGCTCTTTAGCCCTTCTTGCACACATAACAGACCAGCGTGATGGTGCATGTGACAATAACCTGACAAGCCCTCATAAAAATAAGAGGCATTTCTCATGTTTAGCAGACGCATTGTAGTTCTAGTTTAGGATGTGCACAAATACCCAATAGTAATCCTCATTGAATACTACGAGAGCAAAGGGCAGCTGGAATAATCCCTGTAAAGCTACACCCTTCTTAACTATTCCTGCTTGGACTTGAGTCAAATTATAGTGACACAGAATAGCCGGCTTGTTGCTCCATAGCTTCTGGGAACGCAGACGTATTTAGCAATGAGGCAATAACTGCAGGTGCTGCTTCCTATTGGACATTTTCTGCGGTTATCAAAGCGAACATTGATTTCCTGGACGCAATTCAACTGGTGTGCATCCGTATGGCATTCTAGCTTTAAGAAAATTGAACCACGAGATTCACCCCTTTTGCACGGTCATGTGATTTCTGCTAGTAGCTAGTGAAAGCAAGTACATGCTAATGACTGCTTGAATTGAGTTTGCTAGCAACTACAATATGAGAAAGTAAACAGTTAGCTAGGTAGCGATATCTAAACTATAAAGCTACCAATACAAGAAGGGCGGACAGTCTTCATTTGTACATTAAAACACGCGCAAACGGCTCATCCTAGCTTTAGCTAAAGACAGCCTTAACTCACAAAGTAACCGTTTAAAAATAGTTTGCATTACCTGCTGCTAGCTGTTTGCTAACTGAACGTTTTGTCCCGCGTGGACATAATTTGCTGCACGTGCAACCAGGCCCCGCAGGTGAAACGTGCGTCAGCTACGTAACAACAGTTTGCACATTTTTCCTAATACGTAGCCGAGCGTGTGTTTGTTTTATTAATATTTCCTGCTAATGTGAGCAACTCTAAGCAAACTTACCCGGAGTTAGAGGCGGATGTCGCCTTAATGGAATGGATCCTGAGCTTGTTGGCGATGTCTCGCAGCCCCTGCAGAGTCTTTTCGTCGGGTTTGTGGTAGCTAGTCATGGCTCCTGGAGGTTTTTAGTTGAGCTTTTGGGGGAAATGAGTAAATTTTTTGCGTCGTAGTTTCGCTGCTGCTGCTGCGCTACGCCGTTGGTTGCTGCCCGGTGCACGGTACAACTGAGGAGGAGGACTGACAGAAGGAGGAGGTGGACTTATGTCTCCTCCAGCAGACACTCCCATCAAACCTAATCATTGGAGGGGCGGCGGTGGTGCAAGCACAGACTATAGTGCAAGTTGCGTAGGAGATGCTGCGTTCAAAACCCTTATCAGCTTATCAAAGATCAAGATTTGAGGCTGTTTCGTTTTGATCGATTCTCTCAACAAATCACCAAATGTCAGTCATAAGAGCGTGGACAGCACGTGTACTAATACAGGTAAGTATACTGTGGAGAACTGGAAGTAGTTTTAGGGCTCAAATGTGGAATTAACTGGGACTACAATGACAGAGATTCAACCCACCACTTCTACGACTTAATAAATACGCAATCCTTTCACCAGTCGAATTCCTGTTTGAATGAATACTATGATAAAGCGGTTTGTAAATACCAAACAAAGAAAAAGTTGTATTATCTGCTTATATGCTACTCTTTAGTGGGCAGTATACTTCAGTGTCTGTCTGTTCAGTTTCCATAAATGTCAAATACTGTCACTGTCCCTTTAAAGCTGCCGCTGGACGGCTGCCAACAAGGAAGTGGAGGCAGAATTTGCTCTCTCATCCTTACTCAGGGAAACACAGGATCGTTTGTGAAACAACACCAGGTTCAAACACCAACCCACTTCTTATCCCACAGCTGCTGATAGTACTCTTTGTGACCAGCTCATTATCAGAATTTGGACATTTCTGCAGGTGCATGACACATTTTCACATTTTTATTGTTCCAAAACAGCTTGGCTGTATTCATGAGTGTCAGAGCATGACATAAGCAAACTTACTGTACAAAAGCTATGGAGGATTAATCATACAAGGTAGTCTAACCAGACAGTACGTTTCATACAGAAGCACAATCACAGCCACCCACCCTACACACACCAAGCCTGTCTTTACAAGAAAGTCAAGTCAGTCCGATACTTCCCCATTTTGGTCATCATTGCAATCTTATGGCTCAGGTATTTCCTCTTCTGTAAGTTCCTGAAATGGCAGACATGTACTTAAAACAAAAGAGCAAAAGAGAAGTTTCTTGACCGTGCCAAAAAGAGAAATATAATGTGTTCTAACCTTGATCCTCTGCCGGGCTTCGGCCCTCTCATCTGAGGAGACAGGGTCTTTGTCAAGTTGTTCCAGCTGTGGCAAGATCATCAGTACGCTTAACCGGTAGTCTGACGTTTCCACTACTGGGTTCTCAGAAAGGACCAAAGCGCGCAGGGATGTTGATACAAGGTTTAGGGACTGTAGGGCGTTTATATCTTCGATTACATTGCCTCTGAGGGAAAGAGAGACAGAAAAATGTGAGATAAATATCTAGGCTATATAATTTTGTTTGGTGTTTTACTGATTGGATGATGGGAACCACCATTATGGCTCTGATCTGTCCTGTTGCGATACATCTTAGTACCTGACATTCAGGAGTTGGAGACACTTCATGCCGGCGCTGAGGCCATTCAGAGAATCTAGCTGGTTGTCTCGAAGGTGAAGGATGGTGAGGCGCTCCAACTTCTCCAAACCCTCAAGGCGTTTGATAACATTTTGGGCCTTAATAGAAAGAAATAATCGTCATAGTCTGTTCTTTGGGTCATTACACAGGTATTAAGGCTGGCGGTAATAAATGAACCTTATCAAGCACATTAATGTAACCAAATCATTGCTTGTATTACCAGATATAATTGCTGCAGGTTTGGAAGGTTGATGCCATCAGTGGTATCCAGCTGATTTCCCCTCAGCTCCAGAATTACCAGATTTGCAAAACAGTCGCTTTGAAAACCAATCATTCTCTGAATACTGTTTCCTGCAACAGAAGTTTCAAAATGTCACGTCAAAGCCTTTCCAAAAATATGTTAGGCTTTAGACATTTGATTACATTCTTGAAGATGCAAAAGTTTGTTATGCCTGAAACAGAATGATGCCACATAGAAACCCCAAATACCCATCTGAGAAAAATGAACCATTCCCATGACTTACTATCACTTCCCTGATATTAAATTCAATTTATATCTGACAAATACTTCATGATTTTTATACATTTCAGAAGCAGTGTGATGGGGAAAGCAACAACTATTTCTAATTTTAAAAAAAAAATGTTTACCTTTATTTAACTTTACCTTTGAGAGAAAAGCCTGCCTTATTTCTGTAATAAAAAAAACAAGTTTCACCCTTAATTTGGAGACTAAATTTTTATTGTGTGCTTTAAATGAAAGTTCCCCATCGATAATCAATCCCAGGTATTTGTAACTAGTAAGCAGCTCTAGTGCGTTACCTTGGACAGTTGTAATTGAGGGGAAATTCTCCAGGAGAACTGATGAACTTGAGTAAAGCATCACTTTGAATTTTTCAGCATTTAAAACCAGTTTCAGGTTCTGTAAACGAGTCTGCACTACGTCGAAGGCGGACTGCAATGATTGGAATGCATGCGCAATTGTGTGTGAACAGCAATAAATTACACATCTGTCATCTGCATAAAAGTGAAATGAGGCATTTGACAATTTGGTACATAAATCATTTATGTAGATAGTGAACAGACTGGGTCCAAGACATAGCCTTGAGGTTAGGGTTGCAAAGGGGCGGAACATTTCCGGTAAGTTTCCGGTAAATTTCCAGGGGAAGTTAAGCAGGGGAATTTAGGAAATATTGCATTTTGGAAACTTTACATGGGAATAATGGGAATTAAGGGAATTTATGGGAATTAATGGGAATTTAGGGGAACTAACTGGGAATTGAGGGTAATGTAATGAAATTGTATCATATCATATTTGAGGTAGGTTGCATTTTTATAAGACAGTCCACAGGTGCAAATGTGTGCCAAAGTCTTGTACTTTGGGCTCAAGTGTGGTCCAGTCTTCTAGAAATCATCTGTGCATGTGATGGAAGCATGCACAGTGCCTGCAGGGGGTGTGGTCTCAGGTGCAGTAAGCAGTGTGCTGTGCATGTGATTGAGGAATGACATGGATATTCAAGTGTACTTGGATGGCATCTGTTTGTTTTAGTCAAGATTATACTAAAATATATTTTCCCCAACTATGTTTAAGTTCCCTATGCAGAGCCAGTCTTCAATTTAGAAAATTCCCAGTTTATTCCCGTTTATTCCCATAAATTCCCGTTAATTTCCATAAATTCCCATGGGAAGTTTCCAACTTTGAAAATTCCCGGAATTTTGCAACCCTACTTGAGGTACACCTTTTGTGACCTCAAGAAAGCTGGAGCTAACCCCACCCATCTGAACACACTGCATTCTACCTGCCAGATAATTTGCAAACCATGTGGTGGCTTGTTTAGAGATTCCAATCTTAAAAAGAGTTTGTAACAGGAGACTGTGGTCCACAGTGTCCAACACCTTGGGCAGATCGATGAACAGGGCAGCACACGACTTTTTAGAATCCAGTGCATCAAACACATTACATTTTTTTAGGGCAGCAGTAACAGTACTGTGCTGATTCCTAAAACCTGATGAAAGGGGGTTTAAAATGCTGTTTGAATCTAAAAATTTCTTCAATTGATGACAGACCAATTTTTCGAATACTTTTGCCAGGATGCATAATTTTGAGATTGGCCTGTAGTTATTCATAAATGAGGGCTCGCCACCTTTTAACAATGGAAGGACGAATGCAGATTTCCACACATTGGGAAGTTTGCATGTGCTGAGGCTTAAATTAAAAATACATGTTAAAGGCTTAGCAATCAAGTCAGCAGCCAGTTTAAGAAAGAACGTTTCCAAATCATCGGGACCAGCTGATTTTTTTGGAGTCCAACTTTCTTAATGCACTACAAACTTCAGATGTAGACACAGGTACAAAATTAAAAGAACAATCAACCATGGGACTGCTGACAATAGCAGTTTCATTACGCATGGCAGACTTTTTGAAGTCACTGTTCAATGAATCAAACACGTGCCCTGCTGTGATAAAGTGTTTGTTTAGACTCATCTTGTGTTAGGAACCTCTAAAGCAGTCGAATAGCTTAATTCCACTTTTAAATTTAGTTTATTTATATTGTTCTAAATCATACCATACGTTTTCCTGGGGCACTTCACATTGTAAGACATCCTGATAACAGGAAATTACAATAGTCCAGCGCAGAAGTAGCAAAACTAGTTTTTCAGCATTACTGTGAAATGGGGATTTCCTAATTTTGACAATATTGTGCAGCTGTAACAAGGCTATCCAAGAGACCTGTTTTGTGTGAGTTAAAGGATACATCCTGGTCAGTAATCACTTCAAGGTTCCTTACATGAGAAAATGCCAGTGACTGTATGGTTAGACAGTTCTTTTTTGAGGTGCTGAGGGGCCAAATACAATGACTTCAGTTTTGCCTGAATTTAGAAGAAGAAGAAAATTACAGGTCACCCACATCCTTAAGACTTTGACTAACTGACCTGTTTCATCTGGCTTTATAGGTAAACATAGCAGGGTGTCATTGGCATAGCAGTGAAATTCTATGCACTATTTTCTAATGATATCACACAAGGGAAGCATGTAGAAGGTCAAAAGCATTCCTACCACAGAGCTCTGGGGAACTCCATAAGTAACATTTGTGTGTGTAAATGGAAAGTTGTTGGCATCAACAAAGTGCAATCTATCTGATAAACATGATTTAAAACCAGCCTAGTGTGGTTTCTTCAATCCCAAAGACACATTACATTTTCTCTAATAAAATGTTGCGTTCAATGGTTTTAAACTGAGCACTAAGATCTAAAAGGACCAGCACAGAGACAAGACCGTTGTCTGAGGCAAGAAGACCATTTCTTGGCTTTCACTAGTGCTGTTTCTGTACTTATGATGTAGTCTAAATCCTGACTGAAACTCTAAAAAAAAAAAACATCTCTATACAAATGGTCACATAATTAATTTGCAAGAGCTGTTTCAAGGATTTTAGAAATAAAGGGGAGGTTGGACACAGGTATCAAGTTGGCTAAAATACCTGGATCAAGAGTAGGTTTTTTGAGTGGAGGTTTAATGTCACCATAAAAGCCTGCAGTACTGTCATATAGCGATAGAGATAGATTGATCCTTTCTAATAAGGCAGTGTTCATCAGAAGAAAACCTCCTTAAGAAGTACAGTTGGGATATGGTCTGAAAGACATATTGATGGTTTAGAAAAGACACCACTGACATTGACTCAGCGAGATCTAGTCCAAATATATATCAGCTCATTCGAATGCCTCTAAAGCCACTGCACCTGACAGAACATTTGTTTCAGTTGTGGAAGACATGTGACAGACTTTGTCGTTTTTTATTTGTAGAGAAATTCATGAAATTTTACTCCTGAGGGCTAAAGGGACACAGGGCTCAATCGAGTTGTGACTGTCAGCCTGACTACAGTGTTATAAAAAAAAATCTGGGATTGTTGTTGTTTTCCTCTAACAGATGAGTAATTTTGAGTTCTAGTTTTTCTTGACATACAACCAACAGACCAACCTGTAAGATTGAGGTACTCTAAGGTCGGTGTGGCGAAGCCATCTATGTCTGTTAGCCGGTTCCCTGCCATACTCAGCCACTGCAGGAAGGGCAGCTGTGCAAATGGCTGCCCTTTGAAGCATGCCACAGCATTATTGTCAACCTAGAAAAGAAGAGTTACAGTCAAGATTTACCAACAATTAACGTAAATTATCCTGACAGCACAAGGGGTGTCCTTTACTAAAAGAATAAAGAAGAGAGCCCCTTGCCTTCAGCCAAAGTAGCTGGGTCAGAGATGCCAGAGGAGAAAGATCAGTCAGGTGGTTGTTGGATACATCCAGAAAACGTATGTGAATATAACTGCTGATTGCAGCTATATCATTCAGTCCTCTGAGGAGCACAGTAGTGACAAGGTTAAAATAGGTGTGGAATCAGAGGCCACAAATGTGATTAAAACAGGATCACTTAAACTTGAAGTCATAGGTCAAAGACATTCGATTTTGCTTTGCATGTATATTTGCCTTCTTACTTGTCTTTTAGATCCAGTCTGACAAATGCATGTCCTAATCCATATCCTGTTCGGCACAGTAATGATAGCCCCTGACGTATGGTTTCTTGGGTCAAATGGCAAACCTGTGGCTGTAGAGAACAGAGAGAGGAGACATAAATGAGTTATACTTGCCCATATTGGACCTACATTTGAAGAAGAAGAAGCTTTATTGTCATTGTACAAAAATTCAACAAAAATTGACATCATCTTTGTAGCAGCTAATACAGTCACAGTTCTAAGAAGAAGAAAAAAAAGTTAACAGGTGATATAAATAATAAAATAGCAATAAAATTAATACTCTATTAAAAGAGCATTTGTTAGAATAAGTCTGTAAACTGGAAGTGTTTGTGTTTGCTAAACGGCTGCATTTTGTTCACCATTTCTTACATACCTAAGCTGCTGGCCTGACTAAAGGAACCACTTTGACTTTCAGTGTTGTACTTTGACATTTTCTGTGTACAGAAGGGCCTGAGGATCAAACCACCAGCTCACTGATTTATACCCAACCTGATCTACATGAGCCTGAGCCTAGAAACCATCCATTGTAGTATTTTTCCATTGAGTTGGGCCTCATTTGTAGCTTATAACTTTCTGTGAGTTAGTTACAAATAATACTAGCATTTAACTGAAAATTGGAAAGTATTTGGCTTTTGGGGAGCAAAACAAAACCTTAAATTTGTTTGGAGCCAAGATTAGTTGAGCACAAGACCTTTATAGTGAGTTCATCCTTTCATTTTTTTAATCACATATTTAAGGGCGCATAACCAAACACCAGACCTAACTAATGTTTGTGTAAGGGGGTGATTCTTGACCTTTTTTTTTTTAAAGAACCACACTTAAGTCGCTTCCAAATTCCAAGTAAGTAGTTAGCTGCCAAAGTGGCGCAAATGCTGTAAATGACATAACTTTTGTCCCAATACCTTCTCGTCCTCGTCAGCTTCTTTAGGTCGGGTTTCCTCCTCTCCCTCTCCATCCGTTAACACTGCATCTTCCTCCATGTCAGACATTGTGGTCAATTAGCCTTGTGTTGTGACCGTAGACAGTAGGGTAGTGACAGACAAGTTACTACTTGAAATCCTAAGGGTTTAATAAAGAAATGACTCGGCTAGCTAACACTGAGTAGTTACTTTATGTGACCTGCCAAGTACCAGTAGCTAGCTAACCGGTAGCTGTTGCGTTTAGCGTTATAGCTTTAATAAAAAACCATTATCAATGCATTCAAATGTACCCAAGTTTAACAAGGACCGTTAATTTTTCCAGCAATATTAGTAAAAGGAAGTTGGTGTTAGGTATTTGATTAAAGCTACACCTAGCTGCTAACCGCTAACGTCCGACGGTCCTCAGGTGTGTTGCCGTTACCATGGAAACCATAGAGCCGCAACACGCGCACCGCTGTGTCAAAATACCTTCCAGGAACTGATGCGCATTGCAACAGCTAAATCATTTCTGCAGGTTAAGATGTTGCATGATATTCCTCTTTTGTTTTGTTTTTTTCTCAAAAACACAGCTTTGGAAATTTCAAGTTAAAATGTTGAAATATTAGCTGCTGTTTACTGGTCTCCTTATACAATACATCAGTCAATATTGATGAAATGTGTTATTTTGCATTAATTTACATTATCTTGATGGAACACAGTCACAGTACTGAATAAACACAGAAATAAAAAATAACTTTCTCCAAAGGTAAGTATGTATTACATTGTGAATTCATACCTGCTATATGATAAACTGAGACACTTTCACCTACACACTAGTGTTAGTATGACCATGCCCAGTTCATGAGGCCACAGTCTCTTATCTCCCACTGTTGTATAAAAGTGCTCATTCTAAAAATGTACACACAGTCCATGCCCAGATCAGTCATTCACTGAATGACAAGGCATATAGCATTAAATTAAAAAAAGAAAAAAAAAATCTATGGTGCATAGACAGTAATATTAGAAAATTCCATTTGCTGACATAAAGATCTGTACTGATCTCCCGTTTTTCCAGCAAATGTTTCCCAACCACATACAACTTGTTTATCACACACAAGCTCTGTGAGAACTCAAAACTGCATCATTCCGGAAGCAAGCAAAAAGGTGCAATCTGTGCAATATCCTGACATCTACTGCTACAGGATCAGTTCATAAGATTATTACCACTGAGTATTACCATTGTTGAGGTAATTCTAATTTCAAACCAAAATAAAGAGGTTTAAATATAGATATCTATATTGTTAATGGTGAAGTGTTGCGTGCTGGGTCTGTCTTTGTCCTTCCTGGGTCTGGAAGTTCAAGGGGCAAGGGGTCATTCCACTTGCATGTTGCGCAATAGAAGCCCCCTTTTTACGCCTCCCTGCAGCATCCTGGCACCGAGACTGGTTCCTGTGATTCCATCACTAAAGAGAGAAAGATTTTCAAACAATGTTGAGCACGCACACAAACCTCTAAGTTTATAAAGTCAAACACAGGTAGGCGGCAATAGTATTGGCAGTGTTGTACAGAGTAAGCAACAAGTCTTAAAATAACCATCAGTACCCACAAATTACGAACAAGAACATCCTCATCTGTATATCTAGTCGGAGTAAAGCAAAAAGCAAAATAAAACTTGACCAATGGAAACCACTATATGTAGCTCCCCAACAAACTAAAAACCTGAAACGGCTCGAAAACATCAAAATGGGGGCTCTGTTAATGACATCACTGCTGCTTACATGGGGCTAAACTTTCTCCTCTTAGGATCAGGAGGTTCAGGTCCATCCACAAGTCTCTGCAACAAAAAAAACAAGATAACAGTCAGCAATAAATACAATTACTCTACGCAACGTTGTCTAACTCAGACCCTGAAGCTTGACGAACCTCTTTGCCTGCAGCTTCCTGCTGGGTTCTTCTCTGCTCCAAGTTTTGCTGAGTGCACAGATAAAGAAGTGAAAGTTAAGACCAATTTAAAGAAGAATGTCATTCAGCTGGATTTACAGTTGCCATTTTTGTTTTATGCTCCTGCGTTCACAGGGCCTCCATGCAAAAGTGAGTCAAGCTACAATCATGGAACCACCTTGTATAAATAAACCTTGAATAGATGAACAGAGAATGAATTCAGTTTCGGAGTCTTTTTACTGAATAGGAGACAATCATAATTGCTGTGTTCATGTTTTGTGTTCGATGTTTTAGGGTGTGTTAGAGAAAAGCTCCAACAACCAATCACAATTCTTGGAGTCCCCATGTGGTTCCTCCATCAATGCTGCCCTAAAGTGAAGTTTTATTTCTGATCAGGCCAATGGCAGCTACAGCACAGCCTCAGAAAATGCCTCTAAGCCTGCATATTTATCTGCCATAGGTGGGGTGTTTCACCTTAACAAAGAACCTATGCGCCTTATCAATTTATTGGGGGTGTATGATGGTGTAAAATTAAATTTTAACCACCTTATGTAGTTCAGAGAGCTGCTGGTGCCTGATGAGGGCCTCCTTGCTTGGGAACTGCCTCCTACAAAGCAGACAGGCCAGTTTAACCCAGTCTGTCATTCTCCCTTCCTTCTCATCTTTCTCGCCTCCTTCTTCTTCACTGTCAGTCTCTCCGCTGTAGGCTGGGACCAGACCCTGCTGTAGAGGAGGCGATTGCTACAGAAGAAAGACACAAAATCAGGAAGTGATAACATCTACATTTCTAACCGCAAGAAAAAAAGACATAGGATGTTAGAGAAACTATGAGGAAACTAAACCAAAACAGTTTTCACATTAGGTATGTGGTCATGTCCTTACTTCTGCACTTTGTCGGATCTGATCCAGAAAAATCTGAGGCCGTTCAGACAGTGCCCCCTGCAGGACAGAAAAGGAAACTCAGTGAGATGACCAAGTCAGGTCTGAGGACCAAAGCCCCCTTGTTGATGGAGAGTCTCTCAACCCGCGATGATAGCCTAGTGCTCTGAAGGCACACAGATGTTAACAGCCACACACGTGTGTCTATGTTAGAGTCACACACCTTTTTCTCCAGAACAGCATAGCCTGCATCAGCACTCGCAGATTCTCGGTGGTCATCTAGGCGACTGTGGCCAGGAGCCCGAGTAAACCCAGGAGGAAGTGCCGTAGAACCGACGGCAGGGGATGAAGAGAGAGAACGCATGTTCTCCTTTTGCCTGTTAAGACTCTTAGCCCAGCGCTCCATATCTTTGGCAATCTATTAATATAGACCCCAAGAGATATGTGTTAGCCGTTATAAAGGACTCAGAGGAACTGTTAACTGTCAAATGGAAGGGGGGGCAAAATACCAACACAATGAATTCCATTCAGTAGCTCTGCAATAAATACTATCTTTGTGAAGTAACCTAACTTTTGACCATAGTTTCTTCCATTTTATCCGAGTTGTATTCTACTTGTTATTCTGTCCATTAACAGAGATATTAAATCACACATTGAGAACTATAAAATCTGTTTGTTACTGTGTCCATCCTTTACATAGCTGTATAAATATCAAATCAAAAAAGTAAACAAAAAAGCCAAAAATAAAGAAACTTTATGACTGAGTTTAACTTGAATTCCATAGGTCAATTTAATTTTCTGTTAATCTGTCATTACTTGAACTTGTATCCAGTATGTAGAGTACCTGTTGAGCAGTTTTATTCTTGGGTTTATCTTTTTTCTCCTTGCTTCCAGGAGTAGCAAACGGTGAATCTGAAGGGGCTGCACCATCACTCGTAGGAGCCCCTTCAGTGTTTGACTGGCTGGCAGCAGGAATGTAGGTGTGTTTCTCTCCATCCCAGTACATGTACTGTTGAGCGTGAGGGTTGTAGTAGTACTGCAAAGTGAAGGGACACACAAAGCCAGACAGAAATGCTGAAAAAGAGGTCACACACACACAATGTCCTTGAGAAAGTGCTGGCTTAATATTTAGATTGTTATACATTCACCATGGACTCTGTACCTGTGAAGTAGGGTCATAGTAGAGTCCTGTGAATGGGTCGTAATAGTAGCCAGAGCTTTCGTCATATTGGTATGTGGACACATCTGGCAGAGCTGCAAAAACACACAATCTTAACCTTGGGGCCATATTTCCAATATAAAAATCTTTGACTGATCAAAAAGGGTTAGCTTGGCAGTTAATCAGCTGCATCAAACTCATAGTACTTCAAAATAAATCAGCTAGAAACCATTATTGAAGATGTGAATTCCCCAGAGGGAAACCTAAATGCACAGGGCCTTACGATATTGCTGGAGCTCATGTTCAGTGCCCGGGGTCGCAGGTTGGCTGGGAGCAGCTGGTTGTGGTTTTCCTACTATCTCAACCTGTGAAGCGACAAAGCTCTTCAGAACAAAAAAGGAATATCGTGGTATGATGCCAGAATGCAAAAGGCAAAAAGGAAATGCAAAGAGTGATGCTGTACCTGTGTGGCAGGTGTGGTGGCAGGTGTGGTGATGAGAGCCGTCTGAGTGAGAGGCTGCTGCACAACTGCTGATCCAGATTTCACAGTCTCAGACGAAACGACAGCTGCACGTGGGTAAGCGCACGCAGATGACAACAGGTGAGAAAGTTCAGTACAACTGTGCACATCGGAATCAGAATCAGAAATACTTCATTGATCCCCTAGGGGAAACTGCTTTCTGTTACAGATCAAAAGTCTTAAAAGAAGTAGGAAAGTATAAATTATATAATAAAAATAGAAACATAAGTATTAATATGAAATAAGATATATCTAAACACAAAATAAAAATGTACATCCTGCCCTTGTATATGTATATACAGGGTAATAATAATACTACCATTGTGGTTAATGTGCACTATAAACTTATAGCATATGTCAGACCAACCTGGCGCTGCTCCTCCTGTGTATGACCCATTCAGAGCTGCTCCTGCACTCGGCAAGGCGGCTGCCCTGGTATCTCCCTGGGCCTTGAAAGTTGTGCCGTCTGGGCCAGTGTACCCATGACCCTCCTGACTGTATGTCACTGCTGCCCCCTGCTGATAAACTGCAGTATCTATACCCTGGCCTCCACCTGATCCATTTTGAGTGGTCTGAGAATTAAATAAATTTTTTTGAATTAGGCAAAAACCAAAAAACACAAGAATACAATAATGAGCACACAATTTAAAATTTAAGGATGTGTTGTCTTTGCTGTAATGATAATTCAGACACGTTACCTGTGTGACAGCCCACTGAGCAGCAGCGATAGCTGTGCTGGCCACAGTAGCAGCACTCACTCTGCTACCGTCCGACACAAACACATCACTAACATAGAAAAAAACAGACAGAAAAGGTTTCAGTGGTCTTAGGTTTTAATTTTTTTCCCCCTGGTGACCCACATTTCAACAGCTTATTTGTAACAGTCACTTTATTTTTACACTGATAATGTATTTTAGGCAATCTTCTCAAAAGCTATTTCTGATGCACAGACCAAATTGGGTTTTAATGTGACATGGTGTAATTTTAAGCCACTACATCATTTACTGTGCAAAAGCAATAATGTGTAATGTGCTTTTGTTTTCTTAGCAGGCACGTTCGTGTGTGTGTGTGTGTGTGTGTGTGTGTGGGTGTGGTTACCGTTTAGAGCCTTTGGCAAACTCCACTACAATAGCCTTTCCATCAATAGAGAGAGCTGGCTGGAGGGCCTGCAAGATCTGAAGCAGTTGAGATGCCTCCTGTTGATAAAACATAAAGAGACCTTCGAATTAAGTGTGGGTGGATGCATGTTAGAGATAAAGCTCATTTCAAAATCATTGCTGTAATCATCAATCTTGTGTAAATACAACTTAAGTTAGATATAATACATGTACCCAGCACTTATGTGTGTGTGTCATCAAGTGTCTCACCACTATTGTAGAGAGCTGTAAAAAGGCAAAGCCCCTGTTGAGGTGTGTGTGTTTGTCCTTGATTAAGCGAACATTGGAATGGGAGAGAGTGGCAAACGGAGCCAAGGCAGACAAAATGGCTTCCACTGAAGTATGTGGGCCGAGGTTCCTAAGTATCAGAGCTGTTGAAGGAGCGCATGAAAGAAAGTTATATTCTTGAACACAAGATGAAACAATATGTGAGACCAAGCAGCCTATGATACCTATTACTAGACAGCAAACTATAGCTAGGCATTCTCACACCATTTCAAAGCATGGTAAACAATATAGAAATTACTTTCACAAACTACACATGAATCTGTTCTTTAATAGAATTCAATAAATATTGAACATTAAGTAGCTGCACATAAATAGTAGGTTTTCCATTCAAGGTCTGATAAAAAAGAGATTACTATTGTGAGGAAAGTGTCTAGACATGGACTTACTGTCATTGGCAACATCTGCCTGCTGTGTTGCTTGCCCTGGGGTGACACTAGGACCAGAAGAGTGGTAAGGGGCTGGCAAGGGAAGTAAGCCTTGGGCTCCCTCCTTTTGAAGACCAATAGGCAAATCCCTCTGCAGCAGGGGCAACTTCAGCTCAGCCTCTGTGGAAAGACAACATGCCATATGTGTACTACTGTATGACAAGCAAGTAAAACAGAGAATAGCTATAGAGTTGATTGTTGCAGTATTTTAGATTACCTGATTTAGGCACATTGCATTTGAAGCACTTCTCTCTCCTTTTAAAGTTTTGCACGCCACACTGTTGAAATGTTACGTGAGCTGTTGTTAGAGGACTTCATCAATAAACCGCTACAGTGATGGATATAGCTGTATACAATTTCAGAATTTATGTCATGCGATGTAAATGCATACAACCTTATTGCAGAGCCAGTCCTCATTGGCACGGGGTTTAGGGTCGCTGTAGTGCATCGACACTCTCTGTCCCAGAATCATCAGCACTCCCTGAAGGAAAAAGAAAGAGAGGGAGGAAGAACAAAGAATGATTATCAGTGATAATTAGGCCACACATGCCATAGAAAGGCCTCATCTCACAAGAGATGAGAGAGAATTAAAGGGACAAGAGGGAGAGAGGGAAACAGAGAGAGAGAGAGAGAACAACTGAGGCTGAAAGAAAGAGGTCAGAGAACTGCAACCTTCAGCTTTAGGAAATTCGGACGGACTGAGATGGTGTATATGTAGTTTGTGGGTGTCCACTATAAAGGACACCAAGTGTTTTGGTCAATTGAGTCATCCCTCCCCCCTTAAGGGGAAACCTTTTCACAGTTTTCCGCACATCCCATCCCAGTGTCACCACCTTTGCCCCCCAAAGAGACAATAGCTCCATCCTAAAGATGTAATCGTGACAGATGACCCAGATATGAAAAGTTCAAAAACACGAAAATGAAGCGCTATACTGGTTCTGATTCAACATACAATAGGCCATGTGAGAAATTATATTCACACTGTCATACTATCCCAGAGGTGGTACTGTAAACTTAGGAAAGAGACTGAGACAAGTCATTGAAGAAAGGAGCCCTCTATTAAAAGAGGAGGTTAGATTGGACAAATGACGAGCAAATGTGACTGGGAGGGTCCATTTATGGAAACTATGTAGTTGGGCCTTGGACAGACAGAGGTCAGCAGGATGTCAGGTGAATTTCCTGTTTGTAGAATTGTGTATATTTAGAGAGAAAAGAGGAAATTTACCCTCAAAGTATAGAGTCCTACCTCCCACAGGGACAATTATTATTTTTCTGTTTGTGTATCAAAGTTACACTGGAATGCACCATGACGGCCTGACGTGATTGTACATGATACTAACTCATGTGTCCCACTGAATTAATTTATATATGTGTATTTGTGTCTGTGTAGGGGAGAGTGACCTGGTTGGTCTCCATCCAGCGGGTGGCCTCCTGTATGAGATTAAACTCGACGAAGGCGAATCCTCGGCTCTGACCTGGACACCGCCCAGCGCCATGGTAACCGAACAACAACAACAACAACATAACAACAACGCAGTGAGGGGTTAGTGCTTCATGTACAGAGGAGAGAGAGAGACCCTGTATCAGCACTAATAAAATATATCATTGCTTCCTCTCTCCCTTGAAAATAGCGCACTTGACAGTCTGTTGGAGAGCCACTGTCAAATTCTCTGCAAGGGTGGGAGGACGCAATGTCAAGTAACTCATCAGGGTCGAGGAAAGAAGGAGAGAGAGAGAGAGAGAGAGACAGAGGGAATCCTACCCACTCATCAGTTTGAGTCTGAGCTCTTTGGTTTTGAATGATGAAGCACCCAGGCACCAACAGAACTGACAGACACACACACAGAGACACACAAGCACACACAAAAACATCACTGCTACTCTGAGAGTCAGAGCGCAGTCTGAACAATGTAGCACTGTTGTGGAACATTTCATCTTGAATGCGCCACATCCTGTCCATGCATTACTATAAACGACACATTATACAACATATTTAGGTTCGTAGCTATTTTTAAACAACAATGTGTATGCCCGCTAAATACAAATACAAAAGGTCATCATTTAAATATGTATAACTAGAGTTACCTGTCCTAGACAAACAGACAAACAGTGATGTGGGAGTAGGAGAGACAGAGCAGTGTAAAGGAGTGTAAGTGTGCCAGTATCACAATGGCACACCTTACAGACAACCAGTGAGTTAGCAAAAGGGGGAGGCCAGTGAGACAATGACCTTAATGGAAAACCTTTAGAAAAAACAAGCTTTTCTGGGTGGTATGGATGTAGCTTGCTCCGAGGTAGCTGCAACACGTATATCCTGTGACACACACACACACACACACTCGAAAATACCTATCTATCTTTTGACAATGTTAGTTTGGAAACAATGTTCATTTACTCATACACACCCCGCTTCAAGATGGATGAGACAAAATCGTGAAGGGGTAAAGACAATAAGAGAGCCAAGATGAAAAGTAAAAGGAAAGCTATGAAGTGAAAACCTTTAGACTGTGGCCAGATGCATGCATCCTTACATAAACTGCAAATATAAATAGGGCTCTGCTTTGAAGCGTGCATCAATGTTTTGTTGCCCTATGAGCACTAGCAAGATTACAGATACCAGCAGATCAAAGTATCAAAGCAGAAATCTAAGCAGAAGCCTGCTCTGTATATGAGTATATAAATAGAAATGTGTGCTTTGCATCAGCTATCTGCCCCGCAGAGAGAGTGCGGCAAAAGACAGTCACAGCAAAAGTGAAGGAAAAGCATAGGCAATACGCTTATTTATAAGACAGAGAAGACCGAGCAGACAAGGAAGAGTTGCCTGAAAGAGCAATGAAGATGAAAGAGCTGGTAGTGGATGAGACTGACACAACGAGGGAGAGGAAAGAACAGAAAAAGATGGGGCAACAGACAAGTCCTCACCTGAAGATTTGTTCCTCATAAGGCGGACCTCTCTTGGCTGGATCTCCTGCTCCTGAAGCTGTGCCCGGATCTATGGTCAAAGGAGCATTGTTATTATGAACCTATTAACAAGTGAACCTAAGCATCATCAGGCCACTGTTGAGACAAAAGGCACCTCATTGGCGGTGGCACTGGGTGGCAGCATGCGAAGCATTATGATGTTGCTGGGCCTCTGGTTATGGTCTAGATCTGCACGGTAGTCCTGGTCCCTCTGATCCAACTCTTCTAGGGGCGGGTCTGGGCCAGGATTTCCACAACCATGCTCCTCTGCCCTTGCTGGAAAAGTCTGCATGCAAAAGCCACAAATTAACAAATGATGCCAATGCAAAAATTTAACAGTTTTTGCAGTAGCTCTATAAATAGCATCAATGTATGGTGACTTACCCTCCTCTTCCCTGCCCCACGAGAAAACCTGTCCTCCTCTCTCTGTCTTCCCGTGTTGAAGTCCATCTGGTCAGGATGGTTACCGCTACGAGCCCAGTTGCCCTCCCTGCTCCCCAACAGCGGCGTGCTGTTCTCGGGAAAGCCTCTTCCACCTTTCCCTCGACCCCTTTCCTGCAGGCCAGTCTGTAACTGCTCAAATTCCCGCCTGGATCCCTCCTCCTCTCTCTGGAGCATGGGATGAGCCAGATCAGGCTGCGACTGAGAACAAAGTGGCCACAGGAGCCCTTTGCCCTCATGCCCAATGTCCCCTCTACCGTCTCCTCTCTGGTGAAAGCCTGGTCGATCTTGGAGACATCCTGGTGAGAAGTCGGGGACGCCCAGTGACTGCTCATCATGGCAATATGGTCGGTCGCCCTCCACTCTCACATCGTATCCTGCACCTGTCTCTTCATCCTCTTGGCCATAGCCACGATAGTCCATATCCCGAAAGTTGTGATCATTGTGAGTGTTGCCATAGCGACCTATGCGATCACCTCGCCCACCCCTGCTGACCATGAAAGACAATATGAGACACTGCTCTGACAAATCAAGAAGGGAAAAGGTATGAAAATGAACGTTTAGCTCACCTTCGCTCATAGTCCATGCCGATCCACTGACTCTGCTCCTCGTCACTGTCCTTTTTCTGTTGGGTTATGAGAATAGATACCAAAGTACATGCTTTTAGATGGAAAATAAATTACACTGCACTGCTCACAGTGACTGAAAACACACTTTAGTGCTACTTTACTTATAGACGAGCCCAAGAGGTCTGCTCGAATTAATGTTAGTGATGCATGAAGTGTGCATTCCCCTGGTTAGCTGCATATTTTAATACTGCAAAATGCACGCACTTCTCCAACTTTGAAATGACTCCTGCCACTGAAATGCAATCTGCTACCCTAAAGCAACAATTAAACAAACATAAGCACAACCCTGCATCACTAATAAGCATAAACTGTGTGTGAGCAATGCACCAGCACAGCCTTACTACCCAAAAAGGACTATTCAACAATGACGTGTGGCGGTCATCTCTGTTAGCGGCCAAGCTAACTATTTTAGCCGGAGGTTCACTAGCTAGTCCGAGGATATACGCGTTCCTACGACGGATGTCAACCGTTATAAACACCAAGAGCAGTCATATGGGAAAGTGGAGAAACACTTACCAGCGCTACATGTAACCAAAAGTCGTTCTTTTAGTGTCACGTTAAAGGCCAGGTGAGAGGGGTGTTTTATTTTCAGGGGAACCAAGTGTAAAATGGCCACAGCAAGACATTTCAGAGAGGGCGGGGCCGAGCTCCGAAAACTCGTATCTGATTGGTTGCTGAAGAGCGACCACATCGTAGTCGACGATGATTGGACGAGACAAACAGGTCAGCCCGAAACTTGTATCCCTGAATGATGCACTGGAAGGACCTGCAGGACGTTATTTCATACTCTGAAACCTTCTGTTGGATAGCAAATAATAGAATCACATGTTTCTTTTTTTTACAGGAGTGTTTTATTTGTAGGGAAAACGTAAATTAATGCCAAAAAATATAGGGGAAAAATTGTAATTAATAATGAATGGATGCATCAAAGAACACATAAATACCTTACAACAGAAAACCCTACTACCAGCTTTATTTGGGAAAAAAAAAATCCAGAAATCCCCATATATCACAGTACAAAAAAAAAAAAATACACACAAAAAGAAAAAGAAAAAAACTATTCTAGCAGCCCACCCCCAAAAACCTTCTAAACACTGCACCCCAACCTTGACCTTCTATTAATTAAATGAGACAATACAACGGTTACAATTTATCATTGAACTGACATAAGCTGATCGTAACAGCAGGATTAAGTAAAATGATTAAAATATACTAAGAAAATTAGAGACATCAACAATAAAAAGTTATATAGTACAATAATGACAATATCATTAAAGGGGGGTTGGGGGGAGTGGAGTAAAAGGCAAACTTGAAATACACATCATTATCATGTCCTTACAAGGCCTTGTAAGACATACAGTACATAATGGACATTATAGTAATAAGATAAGCCTATTATCTATATGAAAGAATATTCAACTTATCAACTAAACCACTCATGATTTGACCCACTGATTAACACAATCAAATCAATATCTGGTATACACAAAAAAAGTCCTAAAAACTCATATGTTTAACCTGATTGTGCCTCTGGCTATAGTACAATGTCTTCCAGTAAAGTGAAGGTTTCTATGTCACTCTGAGTAGCTGTTAATTCCATTACCTGCCTGAGCCATGAAATGTGGCCATCAGGGGTAACTTTGGCATGGAAACAAGGGTTAGGTCAGTGACGCAGAAGGCCTTTCCATGCATACAGTACGTAGACACATATGTTAATACACAACCACACAAATATACACACATTCACTGCATGCAGAGCTGCACTGGAGAAAACAAACTACCATACAGTTGCATACACGCACTCTAAAGTACAGGTAAGTAATTCAGTATGGGAAAATATTTCATACAATCTAGTTTAGGCATACCCCTGCATAGCGCCTGAGTCAAAAATGGGCCTGAAGGAGCCAAGCCAGTGACAGGGAGAAAGCATTCACAAACGTGAGGTGTGGACACTACAAATGACAAATAATACCCTAATTAAGTTATGAATCCCTACCCGTCAACTTACTTTTCTTGACCACTGCTCTCAAGGCACTACATGTAGGCGATACTGTGTAAGATCCACGTAGACGTGGTCTTAATTCAAACCTATGCTATATTAACGTCTTTTTCCTCTCTTATGTTACCATTGTCTTTGGCCTGGTAAGGACCTTTTTTTTCGCTTCATTTCCATCATGGCACATTTCAAGCCCTGTTTACATCTACTCAACTTCAAATCACCCCCCTATCACCTGGCCTACAAACCTCTGGATCTGAAAAATGTTGATAAATGCAAGCAAAATGGCACACAACCTAATCTACAGATCAAGAACCAAGGTGTAGAAGCCTATCAAATCATTTCAGATCCACTTTACTTTGCTGAGGGTATATGGGTGATCAGAAATTGAGCATCTGCATAACTTTCCTGCCCCACCCACCCAAATAGTTTCCCCTATGTCAAATTTCAATGGAAGCTGCCCTCTCCATCTGTGCTTGAGGACAGTTCCCTGATCTCCCAGAGCCTATAACAGAAGGCAGGTGGACTTCTTGCCACGTTTCTTGGCCTGCAATGCTGCCCTAGTTGCCATCTCAAAGACTTCCCTCACACCATCTTTGGTTTTGGCAGAACACTCTTGGTAGCCGTAGGCACTGATGCGGTTTGCCATCTCTTTGCCGTCTTCATATTTAACTGGTTCCTGGAGACACATGTCACAGACAAAGTTTAAACTTCGACATTTACACCAACAAATGTGCATATACTAGAATGCTTACTGGTATACATATATATATGTGTGTTACTAACACCAAACAACTTACCTGTTTCATTTTGGCAAGCTCTCGTCTGGTGTGCTCATCATTCCGCAGATCTTTTTTATTGCCCACCAAGATGATGGGAACATTTGGACAAAAGTGCTTCACTTCTGGAGTCCACTTTTCTGGAATATTCTCTACAGTGAATAGATAAATATGCAATAATTAGCAACATACATACATTTTACAAATGTGTTCAATACGTAGTGGCATTGGTGGTATTTCAACTGCACCTAAACTGTCAGGGCTGTCCACAGAGAAGCACATGAGGATAACATCAGTGTCTGGGTAGGAGAGAGGCCTCAGCCTGTCATAGTCTTCCTGGCCAGCTGTATCCCAAAGCGCTAGCTCTACCTGCGAGAGACAGAGAGTGAGCGAGTTACATTAGTAGACAGAAGTGTGGATAAAATGGAAAATTTGAAATGGAAAGAGGGCCACTGGAGAATCAAGCAAAATGATGAAATAGGTCCATATTACATTACTGTCACACTTCCATGAGGAGACAACAGAAGAAGAAAATAATGCCTATGTTGCTAATGGCACACAAAGAAAGAAAAACAAGAACAAGGACACTCTCAAAATGTCAATACCTATCACAATATCTCTTTAGGTATGGAAACTCATGGCTTGCAAAAATGCAGTGTGCTTTTTATCAGAGTGAAGCCAAACAGTAAGTGTCATTTTCAGAATTCATTGAAGAAAACTTGGTTAAATTCTGCTTTTAAAGCAAGAGCAAGTAGTTGATTGATGGTATAGACAGATTAGATAGACAAAATTAAGGGGAAGCTACTGTGACAAACTAACAATTGTTGAAGTAATTGTTCAGGCATTAGTGCTAAAAATGCATTGGTTTTACTTTCTTAAGTATGGACCTATGCTGTGTTTTTTTCTAAGATAGTAAACTGCATATCTTTGGCAGTTTTAACATTAGGACAGAATGATGCAGCATTAAGCAGAGGTGCAACAATAATCGTTCAGTCAATTAAAACAACATGAATAATAATGAGAGAAAAAAACAAAACTTCAAGCAAAAATTCTGAGCATTTTATGGTTTTAAATATAGTGAT